GGGGGGGGTGATGTTCGAATCGAGGTTGTCTTTTCCGGTGATGGCCTCTGGGAAATCAGCAGAGAAGCTTCGGCATGTCACGTGGGTATAGGTACGTACCGGCGAATTTGAGCCGAGTTGTTATCGCGGAGCGCTCGCTTAGTCATGACTGAACCGTCGAATCTCGTTGCTCCCCATTACGCCGCTACGGCGTAATGATCGCACGGCATCTGTTTGCACGTTCACTCATGGTACTGCTACCAGTTTCAATATATAACACCCGTGCGGTTGGAAGAAAGATGAAAAAGCAAAACTGTAAATCCCTGCATCCCAGGTATACCACTTTCTTCGGATATAATACGGAGCGAGTAATCTGTAGAATGTCTGGCTTACAGACTACAGCCCAAGGTGTGAGATCACCCAACGCTGCTGTCGAGCATCCTGGACGTTCCGTCTCTGGATCGCCGTCATTCTCAGCCTCGGCACAGCCACTGACTGTCGTCGAAAAAAGCACTGCTTCGCCACGACTTCCCAGTTGTGGCGTCCAAAACAGCTTATCCTTTAAAGCTTTAGCTGAAGCAGAGAGAGAGAGGGGGGGGGGGTCTTTGCTGGACAAGCTCATGAGGCGAACTTCTTTCATGGCGATAGATGTACATGTACAGAGTCAGCAATACCTCTCTCTATTGCTAGGGATGCCATCACGTGTAATGAGTGAGTGAGCGGCACTGTCTCTTTACAAAGATTTACGAATATTAGTCTGACTGGGGGAACAAGATGCTTGGCCCCGTCGATATCGGTAGCGCTTGACTGTCAAGTAAGATGGTCGTTCGTACTCACCCCTTAGAAATGGAAGGATTCCATTCAGCCTTGAGGGGGGGGGCGGGGTCAGTACGGGCAGTAGTGCAATGCCGTACTATTCGTTCCCTTCGAGAATTACTAGCTCGCTTACTGTGGCTGATGAGCCTGACGTCAAGAGGAGGGAAAGAGGCAGCTGCCCCTGGCAGCAACTTTGCTTTCATGAGCTGCGTACCCGTGTTATCCGTTGTTAAAAGAGGGCGCGGCGTCGCTCTTAGTCTGAGTCTACTACTACTGCTACTACTACTGCTACTACTACTACTACTACTACTACTACTACTACTACACAAAACACACGCACACACGCACACACACATCATGCCTCCTCATCTCAACCCTGTTCAGCGCCCCATGGGCCTCTTCCCCAACTTCATTGCCCAAAGGTCCGAGACTCTCGTCATCAAGGAGAAGGTCTTTTCCCTATCGGGAGACAGCTTCGACATCAAGCTCGCCAACGGGCAGCCCATCTTCAAGATCAAGGGCCGTCACCTCACCCTCTCTGGACGCAAGTCTATGAGCGACGCCAACGGTAACGCTCTGTTCGACATCGTCAAAGAGCTTCTCCACCTCCACACGACTTTTGCGGCCGAGGACCCCCAGGGCAAGAAGATTCTCGAGGTCAAGAGCTCCTTCAAGTGTACGTCTCCGGATATCCCATTCTATGTGCCGCAGAGCCGTTGATTTTACTGTATGACATGTCTGGATATGCTGACATTGACTTGGGATCAAAAAAAAAAAGTGATGGGAAGTAAGGCTACCATCGAGTTTCAGTCTAGCGACGGCCGCACCGTCCGTCTGATCATGAAGGGCAACTGGTTCGACACGAGCGCCGACATCGTCGACGAGGAGACCGGTGCCGTCGCCGCCCGCATCGACCGCAAGCTCGTCAACGCCCGCGAGCTCTTTGGTGACGGCCAGACCTACGCTGTGACTATTGCACCCGGCGTGGACATGGCTCTCATGGCCGCGGCGTGTGTTGCCCTTGACGAGAAGAACAACGAAAAATGATGGGAAGAGGAGCTTTGATGTGATATGAGCGATGACATGATGTGCTTTGCTAGCCTTGTATTCGAATTACCTGATTTGCTACCAGTTTCATGACGAAGAATACCAAACCACCTTATGACATCTATACTCGTCCTGGACCTATGATGTGTACGGTACTTTCACGGTTTATTTTTATTTTCATTCTTATCTTTTATTGAGTGTTTTGAAATCGGGATCTAATCCTGCTTGGCTGCCCGTGCTCATAACTGTGAAAGAGATGATACTCATTATCGCTAGCGGTAGTAAAGGCCCTACTACTGGTCGGAAGCGCAAAGCGTCATGATCTAGTTGATGCGGTTACACGCCTCATTGATGCGATTCCCTACCGACTCTGCCGGATCCATAAAATGCGGAGCGAAGAAAGGAAGAGAAAGGAAAGATTGTAGCGTCATGGCTTTGGATGCGGAAGAAAGTATTTTCGTTATATCTCCGTGCGGCGCTGCAAGAACGAGCGGCAAGATTTCAATGTTATATTGATGTCAAATAGGCTGAAAGCCTGTTTGTGAAGGTTGCGTCTTCGTTTACAGTGGGGGTTGGTTGTCCCTGCCTTAGCCCAGCAGGGAACATGGCATCAGCAGAGCTATCATTGCTTGATTTGAGTTGAGAGAGTATGGGGTTCTGCTTTCGCTTGGGTTAGTATCATTACATCTCTACTCGTATTTGATCATTTTCATCCTTGACATTCTAGACATATCGACGCTCTACAAGGCTCCTCAGGCTCCAGAGGTGTGTTCTCATTGTAGTCACGTGGATTACGACACGTGACTGTGACGTTACTTTAGTAATCATAGTGTAGGAGTGCTGGTAGATCTCGATGGCAGCCACACCGCCCACTTGAAAGAGGCCGGATTTTTTTTTCTGCCACACCCAACATCCACCCTCTTAGCTACGACGCAGAGAGCGCCTACATCGATCGAAACCGCACTCGTGCATCCCACATCCACCTACCATCGACGGCTAGAGACGCCGGCAGATCCGAGCCGAGATGGATGACATGTTCGATGTTTTCGATGGGAAGGCGGACCCCCAAAGCGCCAGCGAGGACGAGAGCGCCGTGCCGCCAAAGACCCAGACCCAGAATGATCATAGCAAAAAGAGGAAGGTGGACGAGGCCATGAATGGGACCACAGACGGCGCCGAGTCGAAGAACAACGACGCAGGAGACGCCATGGAGGAGGACGGCACAGACTCGTCCTCGGACTCCTCCTCAGACGTGGAGTCCTCGTCCGGAGAGGAAGGGGAAGAGGGAGAGGATGCTGGCAGCAAGAACGACAACAAGCGTCGTAAGAAGGGCGACGGAGCGGCTACCGTCATGCTCGACACCTTCCAGACTGCACAGTCGAGAGAGGTCGCCGGTGCGGCGACTTTCGTGCCCCAGGATGCCTCGCTCGTGCTGTCACACAACATCCAGCACCAGGTCGCTCTGCCCCCGGATCTAGACTACGAATACGTCCCTCTGTCCGAGCACAAGTCACCCGAGGAGCCGGCGCGCACGTGGAACTTCAAGCTGGACCCATTCCAGAGTCTCTCGGTGGCTTCGATCGAGCGCGATGAGAGCGTCCTCGTGTCGGCCCACACCAGTGCCGGAAAGACGGTTGTCGCCGAGTACGCCGTCGCGCAGTGTCTCAAGCGCAACCAGCGCGTCATCTACACGAGTCCGATCAAGGCCCTCAGCAACCAAAAGTATCGAGACTTCGAGGCCATCTTTGGTGACGTCGGCCTCATGACGGGCGATGTCACCATCAACCCCACCGCCAGTTGCCTAGTCATGACGACGGAGATCCTGCGCTCCATGCTGTACCGTGGCTCAGAAATCATGCGCGAGGTGGCGTGGGTCGTCTTTGACGAGATTCACTACATGCGCGATAAGACGCGCGGTGTCGTGTGGGAGGAGACCATCATCATGCTCCCCGATAAGGTCCGCTACGTGTTCCTGTCCGCCACCATCCCCAATGCCTTCCAGTTCGCCGAGTGGATCGCCAAGATCCACCACCAGGCGTGCCACGTCGTGTACACCGACTTCCGGCCCACGCCGCTGCAGAACTACTTCTTCCCGGCCGGTGGCAAGGGTGCGAGGATCGTTGTGGACGAGAAGGGCAACTTCAACGAGGCCAACTTCAACCAGGTCATGAAGGAGGTCGAGGACAAGAAGGGCGCCGACTCTGCCGACGTCAACGCCAAGCAGAAGGGCAAGGGCAAGAACAAGAAGATCAGCAAGGGTGGCCCCGACGAGGGCAGCGACATGGCCAAGCTCATCCGCATGACCATCAAGAAGAGCCTGAATCCGGTCATCGTCTTCAACTTCAGCAAGCGCGAGTGCGAGAACATGGCGATTGCCATCTCGAGCATGAGCTTCAACGACGACTCGGAAAAGGCCATGGTGCGCAAGGTGTTCAGCAGCGCCATCGACAGCCTGTCGGACCAGGACAAGGAGCTGCCGCAGATCTCCAACCTGCTGCCCCTGCTCGAGAGGGGAATCGGCGTCCACCACTCCGGTCTTCTGCCGATCCTCAAGGAGACGATCGAGATTCTGTTCCAGGAGTCGCTCATCAAGGTGCTGTTCGCCACCGAGACCTTCTCCATCGGCCTGAACATGCCGGCCAAGACGGTCGTCTTCACGCAGGTGACCAAGTGGGACGGTGTGAAGCGCAGGCCGATCACCTGCTCCGAGTACATCCAGATGGCCGGACGGGCGGGCCGTCGTGGCCTGGATGCGCGCGGTATCGTCATCATGATGATCGACGACAAGCTGGAGCCGGACACGGCCAGGGAGATTGTGACCGGCCACCAGGACAAGCTCAACTCGGCCTTCTACCTGGGGTACAACATGATCCTCAACCTTCTCAGGATCGAGGCCATCTCCCCCGAGTTCATGCTGGAGCGCTGCTTCTACCAGTTCCAGAACGCGGCCAGCGTGCCCGCGCTCGAGAAGGAGCTCATGTCCCTGCAGCAGGAGCGCGACAGCCTGTCGATCCCCGACGAGGCCAACATCAAGGACTACTACCAGATCCGCAACCAGCTCAACACATTCACCAAGGACATGCACTTCGTGGTGCAGCATCCGGCGCACTGCCTCGAGTTCCTGCAGCCGGGCCGCCTCGTGCAGATCTTCAACCCCAAGGAAGCGTCCGGCGGCGTCGCGGGAGGCGTCGACTTCGGCTGGGGCGTGGTGACGAACCACTACAGCCGCAGGGCGCCCAAGATGGGCGAGCCCGAGCACATCCCGCAGGAGAGCTACGTCCTGGACGTGCTGCTGCCCGTCTCGGCGGACAGCGCCAAGTTTGCGCCCGGCCAGCCGGCCGGCGAGATGCCGCCGGGTGTGCTGCCGTCGGGCAAGGACGGCAAGACCGTGTACGTGGTGGTGCCCTGCCTGTTCACGTGCATCAAGGCCATCAGCCAGATCCGCATCTTCATGCCCAAGAACGGGCTGCAGTCGGACGCGGATCGGGACGTGGTGCGCAAGTCCCTGCAGGAGGTCTGCCGACGGTTCCCGGACGGGCTCCCGATCCTGGACCCGCTGGAGAACATGGAGATAACGGACGAGTCGTTCAAGAAGCTGCTGCGCAAGATCGAGGTGCTGGAGTCGCGGCTGCTGGCCAACCCGCTGCACATGTCGCCGCTGCTCCCGTCGCTGTGGGACCAGTACAGCCAGAAGGTGGGGCTGACGGACCGGATCAAGGAGAAGAGGAGGGAGATGACCAAGGCGCATAGCATCGCGCAGCTGGACGAGCTCAAGTCACGCAAGCGCGTCCTGCGGCGGCTGGGCTTCATCAACGACGGCGAGGTGGTGCAGCTCAAGGCCCGGGTGGCCTGCGAGATCTCGTCGACCGAGGGCCACGAGCTCCTCCTCTCGGAGCTGCTCTTCGACCGGTTCTTCAACGAGCTGACGCCCGAGACGTGCGCCGCCGTCCTGAGCTGCTTCATCTTCGACGAGAAGGTCGAGGCCGCCGCGCTGAAGGAGGAACTCCAGAAGCCGTACCGGGAAATCCAGGCCAAGGCCAGGATCGTCGCAAAGGTCAGCCAGGAGTGCAAGCTGGACGTCAACGAGGAGGAGTACGTCACCAGCCTCAAGTGGCAGCTCATGGAGACCGTGTACACCTGGGCTCAGGGAAGACCATTTTCCGAAATCTGGTGAGTTTTTTTTTCTTTTCTTTTTTTTTTCAATTTTTCTTCATGACCCCCTCCCGCCCTTCCCTGCTTTTGCTATAATCAAAGAGAGAAGAGAAAGGGAAGGAGGAAGATATAAAGAAAAGAAAATAAGAAAAGAGAAAGGAAGAAAGGAAGGGAAATAAAAAAAAGAAGGAGAAATAAAAGGAGAGAATGGAAGCTAATGCGACTATAGCAAAATGACCAACACCTATGAAGGATCACTGATCCGCCTCTTCCGCCGCCTGGAAGAGCTTCTCCGACAGATGGCCCAGGCCGCCAAGGTCATGGGCAACGACGACCTTACCAAGAAGTTTGACGAGAGTCTGCAAAAGATTCGGAGGGACATTGTTGCGGCGCAGAGCCTGTATCTGTAGATGCCACGCACCATCTTCTTCTTCCTCTTCTCTCTTCTTCTCATCACTTTATTCCCCTCTTCCCCTTCTCCTCATTTCTTTCCTTTGCGTTGTTATTATAGTAGTTTTTTTTCTTTTTCTTCTTTTTGCATTTTTGGCATTTCCAAATACAAAAATCCAGAAGGCTTTCTTTTGGTCTCTCTTTTTCTTTCCTCTTTCTTTCCCTCTATCTTGTCGCCACTCGGTGTTTGGAGTAAATAAGGATAATTGAATCAGTTTATAGATGGAGTCAGAGTTCTGAGAGGTCCTCTGCATTGCCTACTCTGCTTATGTATCATGACGCCATGGTCGAGAGGATGAAGAGACGATGAAATGAAGCGCCGGAATGAAGAAGACAAACAACCGTTCTCGTAAAACGCCTAAAACTCCTGGCCAAAAAAAAAGTGATGAGCGCAAAGTACAGGACCCATTATAGGATAACGCCAAGATGAAGAGAAGAAGAAGAAGAGGAAGAAAACAAGAACAAAAAAACCGGATGCCAGAGTTTTTGTGTATATATACAATAGTCGACCTGGGGTCAGTTATCCCAATTGATACTGACGAGAATACCGGAAGAGACACTCATGACGACGCCAGCAGCCACAAATATCTTCCACCTATCATTCCAGATGGCATCCTGCCGCAGCGCCCAGGCCAGACTACCGAGTGGGAAGAAGAAGCCGATCATCATGGCGCGGATGAGGACATCGATCCCGTTGGCCAAGCTGGAAGGGTCGTCGGCGTCGTCGGCCAGACCGTCGCCGCCACCGCCGCCGAAACCATGCTGCTGCTGCTCGCCGGCAGCGTTGGAATCTATCCACGAATCTTCCAGGGATCTGAGCGTGTCTGGGGAAGGGGGAGCGTCGGGCGGGTACCGATCCGCGTGGATGGAAGCGAACTGCGTGCGCAGCGTGGATATCTCGGACGAAGTGAAGCCTGTGGCTAGGAGTCGGTCGAAGCCACGTGGGCGGGGACGAGTGGATGGAGAGTGTTGTTGCTGTTGCTGCTGCTGCTGTTGCTGCTGCTGCTGTTGCTGCTGCCGCCGTCGTCGTCGTCGACCTGTAGCTGTTGCTTCGTCTACGGAGCCAAGGTCCCCCCCTTCCTCGTCATCTTGATTTGTGGCGGTGGAAGCGGCAGCGGCATTGGCAGCCTCGGCTTCGGCAGATAATTCCTCGGGAGTGAGCTCGTCGCCTATGGAGCAGTTGACGTAGATGCTTATGAACTTGTCCTTGCCTTTACCCTTGGGGTCGTCGACTGCAGCTGCTGCGCCGTAGGAGGAGGACGAGGTTGGCCGGAGAGCAGAGAGGACGGACGACGTGTCGGGTAGGATACGTCCCTGATAGATGAGACGGAGACGGCTCCGAGACGATGTGCGCGTGCGGAGGAGGTGCTTGACGGATAGGACGGTGGTGGTGTGCGGTGTCGGTACGTCGAGTTGGAGGTCTGGAAGGGAGTTGGAGAAGCGGATGGTCAGGTGAAAGGGTGGTGTAGGGGAGGAGGACATCGTCATTATGGCGGCATCTTTCCAGAGAGTCGTTCTTCGAGGATAGATGCCGTTTATCTCAGTCCTACTACTGGTGGTGGTGGTAATGGTTACAGATTGCTAGTATGACGATTTTGGGGGGTGGGTCTTTCTCTCACGTGCGCAGTCTTTTGATTCCTCCAGATATCTGTCACGTGCGCGGTCTGGGCCATGATCCATCGCACCTTTATAGGAAACGACGGATGTACCCATACTTCTATCCTCGGAGTAATACCTTTTCAATTGCGAGCAAGTCCATATCTGCTGTGGAAACTGTGGAGACACGGTATGACTCTCACCTGTACGGAGTAGTAACGAAAGGTATTATAGGCCATGGAGGTGGGTCGACAGCATCTGTCCTCACGATACACCTGGTCGTAGATCATGGGCGTCGCCTGCCCCGTTACAAGCAGGGCCTGATTGCTCCATCGTCATTACACTCGGCATCGGATCCACGGCCGCATCGCATGGATCCGTGCAGTAAGAGCGTATACGTACAGCATGGCTCCCCTTGCAAGCATAATATCGCGGCCATTATCAATCGCCTGTCGTTGCGACCATCATGAGGTACTAAGGCAGGAACAGGTCTACGGCCACTAGTGGCTACGAGAACCCTTGCTGAGCATTCAGAGAGTTGGGACTAATTGCTCGATTGAGAGCGCTCACGGCGACGACTTTGAAGACTATAACGAGCCCCCCTTCTTCGAGTCCGAGACCCTGGATACGTCTTCCGTCTTTGTGGTCGGCCTCGAGCTTTGAGAAGCAGTAAAAGAAACGTCATTCCTGTCGTGACGTCGGACTCGACGGTCTAATCGTCGTCCGGCTTACCTAATCTACGTACGATTTTCTGTGACAACGTCACTAACATAGGGCTAGGATCTCCAAGTATACCTAGACGGCTTCTACTAGAACTAGCTAAAGCTTTCAAAATGTTGAACGACGCGTATTATAGCTAAGGCGGTCGTAACCACACACACACACACACACACACACATATATATATATATATATGTGGCCATGTGACTGTGTCGAATGAGGTGTCTTCGGTAGGATGCCATTAGATTTGCGTTACTGGCTCGCACCACCACATGACTTGCACACCTGTTCCTTGCTTCCTACCAACCTTTCTTCCGAGCTCACCTGGCTCATCATCCCCAGCTGCTCGTCTACTCAGATCTTTCCCGACGATTCCCCCTCCCATACTCCAGTCAACTCATAGATCTAGATATACACAAGACAGGATGGATGTCTCCTCACCCACGCCATACGTTGACGTTATGACGCTTTTCAAGACATTGGCGGACTGAGCTGACGAAGAGGACTTCTTCGTCTTCACAGGTGTCACCCCGAACCGATCTGATAAGATCGGCGAGGAGAGGGGCGAGTCCTCTCATATCAGATCCACCTACCAACCAGAGGATCGAGGCCTACTTCTTGTTACGGTGCCTACTTCTGCACACGAGAGCTTCCACAATTCTTTACAGAACGCAGTTCATAGAGAAGTGATACGGATGAACGTCGACGAGAGCTGGACCACCCAGGGGTCGACGACTCATAAAGCACCGAGCGGCGTAGTCAAGGAGGGAGACTATACTGGCGCCCCTTTGCTTGTAGGGGGCAAGATACGCAGGTGGCCTACCCTCGTGATCGAGATAGGCCGCTCACAGCCACTCGAGAGTCTGAGAATGGTCATGGGCTTGTGGTTTCGCGAGTCGGAAGATGCCGTCGAGATGGTGGTCCTGGTTAAGCTCTGCCGAGACGACCATAGCATCTTGGTCGAGAAGTACACCGAAGGACCGGTGGCTGTCCAACGTCCTGGTGCGACAACGACTCGGTCGGCCCGGGGTGGTCTCGCACCCGTCCTCCGACAGAGGGTAACGATTCGAGAAGTCGCAGGAAGGCCGCTAGAGTATAAGGTGTCTGGAGCTCCTTTGGTCCTCGAGTTCAATCTACTCTTCCTCCGACAGCCCGACCTGGCCATCGGCGAACGCGACATCGTTGTGGACGAACACGGTCTGCAGAGAGCTGCAGCTCCGACCTGGGCAGAGTACGGGGACGAGTAGAGCCACGTATGCGGGAGGAGATCAAGCTGCAAGGCTGAGAATAGCGCGAGGGAACAGCGCGAGGGGATGAGGGTCTATTGCTACACGGGGTATCTGTCAGTGTTGAGGCACCAGATGTGACCGAAAACACAGAAAGAGAGGATTATGATGATGGTAGCCAGCTAGCTAATCTGAGATGTGAGCTGAAAGCTCTGCTGTGTGTGCGTGTGTGTGTGATCAAGACGTACAAGACAAGCAGCAGACGTGACGGGAAACAGGTTGACGGCCATCTGACAAGGCTTACATAATCAACCAGAGCACGTACGGACGCATCGCAGATTATGATAACCCCGTACATGTACAGGGCCGGTAGGGTACTACGAGTCTGCGACGGGGACCGTACCGATAACGGTGGTGGGATATATTGTGTGTAGGATACTCGTATACGGATTGTCCATGTATCCGTTCATGTGCTCTGTATCTATGCATATAATATATACCTGTACGGGTAATATGTGTTCTACATATGCAGTCTACATCACTATACACGCAGTGGATATGTATGAGTACTCGCCTCTGCAGATCCAATCTGACAATCAATCTGACAATGATGAGTAGATACCCGCGTGTGGTAAAGCATCTCCTCTCTCGTATCGACAAAAAAAAAAGTGACGACGGTGTCTCTTCTTTCCCATCTGACTCCGTAGACACGCACGAGGTTCCAGAAATGGCATCCGACCGCACATGTCCGTACACACACAGTCGCACGCACGCACACGCACGCACACGCACGCACACGCGCACACCCATGCACACCCATGCACATGAGCATTAACGACTCGGAGTATTATTAGCATCGTGCCGTAGTCTGAAAAGAGAAAGAAAAAAAACGCCAGGTTCTGGCACGTTGTTACTGACCGATTGATGCCTTGCATCGAACCCTCCCCCCCCCCCCCGTACATCCGTGTATGCCGAGGGGTGAAGAGTGAACCAGTCTCGACTTTCCAGACTACCGTTTCACATCGGGACATTCTGGTAATGCGGGACGGGCTGTCTTGTCGACCGACTGGACAGTTCTTTCCGGTCGAGTATCACCTATGAGCACTATATGTAATCTGAACTCGCGTACAAGCAACAGCGGCGGCCGACGACGGGGTTATCCATCCACGAGTACCCTGCTAGTCAGCAGTTGATGACCTCGCTAGCAGTATTACCTGGTACGGAGTATCAGTATTTCAGAAGAGTAGATTATATTCAATCAGACCGTAAAAATAAAGAGACAGATTGAGAGAGAGAGAGAGAGTGTGTGTGTGTGTGTGTGTGAGGGACATGGAGGATGGAGAGAGAGAGAGAGAGAGAGAGAGACAGAGAGAGATCTGCCGCGAAGCCCGTCGACACATCATCAGCCATCAGCGGTACAACCCCCCTGTCACCTGAACAGGTACGAAACCCCCGTCATGCACAGAACCCCTGTCAAGCTCTATGGATGCTGGCCCTGAACTGGCCCTGCCCTGACCCTGGGCAAATCGGCGTCCCCTGCCGAATGGGCGAACCCTACCGAACATCATTACTCGATCGATACGGATCCGTTCTTGCTTTTTCCCTCTGCATCCCGCTCGTGGGTTTGTGGAGATTTGGAGATTTGTTTACGAGTATTGGTGATCATGACAATCATCTTGAACCAAGACTGAAGAAGATGAAAATGGGGAAGAAGAAGAAAGTGGTCAAGACAGATGACTACTCTCGTACTTGGTAGAAGCTGCGATGTTGCTGCAACCCTGTGTTTTAAGTTTTGCATATACATACAACTTGCACACGCACACGCACACACACACATACGCGCACACACATACGCACACACATACCCATATACACACACGCGACACACGATACACACTAGTCTCCTAGCATTGGACTGGCTCGGTTAAAGGAAGGAAAGAAGAAGGTGGCAGAGAAGAAGATGACAAAGAAACGAAGAAGAAGAAGAAGAAAAGAAAGGAAAAGAAAAAGGAAAAAAAAAACAAGAAAAAAAACAAGAAAAAAAAAAACCTCATGGTCCATCCCATTGTGGTACCTGTAGTTTTCCCGACCAACCAACCGCTCCCCCTCCCCCCCCCCGGGCGCCCACGGCAGATATATCCGGTCTTCAACGCCGTCCGATACACCACGCTCCCCGTACTAGAAGAGAGCCGACAGCTACTGCAGACGGCTGCAAACTGCAAACTGCAAACTGCACCGTCGCCGTCGGAGATTGACCCCATCGGATCCTAGCACCAATTGGCAATAGTCCACAAGCCACCCAGCATCGGCCGACACGCCGTTTATAGTGTCATGTCAGTGCTGCTAGTTCCGTCGGGTCGGACAACGGGACTGGACCCTTGCCACTCGGTGCTAGTCGGGGACAGCTGACAGCATCCATTATGGAGTATCGTGACGAGGTGTTTCCTCTCCACCTCCCCCCCACTCATCTGTCTCTAGCTGATCCGCCGAGGATGGTTTCTTCCTCCTCCTCGTGTGTGATCCCTATAGGGTATAATCAATCTCGGCTTGGCAGTAAGCTGATTGATCAGCACTTTCTGCTCAGAGCCGTCCTCTCTCTACCTGCAGAGGCAGATGAGGCAAAAAAAATTAAATTGAGGCAGATGAGGCAGATGAGGCAAAAGAGGCAAAAAGAGGCAAAAAGAGGCAAAAAGAGGCAAAAGAGGCATAAAAAGAAACCCACACCCCACCCACACACACACACAAAAGGATGGGGAAGGAGGAAAACGTGAGAGGGGGGGGGGGGGGGGGGGGGGGGGGGGGAGAAGAGGAACTAAACTACTTGCAGTAATAAATATCATCAACCATGTGCTCTTCCGCGATCGGCATCTCGTGTGCGTATACCAGGACGCAGGGGTTCTACCCTCTCGGCCGGGACCAGCACCGCATCGCTTCTTGACCCCTTGGCATTGCGACTTCTACGCTAGAGAGTTACTACCAAGCTTGCGAGCTGCATCGCGGGTAACAGGTGGCATCAGTCGGACAGTTCGGCATAGGTATAGGTGGTAATAGAAAGTAGAGACACGATGGGGAGAGACGGTTGAGAATACATGGCACTGGCAAGGGGAGCGGAAGAGAGGGACAGGTAGAAGGAGAAGAAGAGAGAGATGAGAAGAAGAGGAAGAGATGAGAAGAAGCAAAGAAAAAAGAAGAGGAGAAAAAAAAAAAAGCCAACACTCTCATAGACGCATATTTGGCTTAGTAAATAATTAGCACATCACAGATGCAGCATTGATCCTCCAGTCCTCCGGGTTCTCAGCCTGAACAGGGTTCCTGCTTCTTCTCCGGCCCCCGGGCGACGTAAGTTCATGGGCGTTGGTCGTATAGTCCCCCTCCCCATAATACAAAGATTCCATTCCCTCTTATTCCCTGGTCTCCATCCATCTCTCTCTCCCTCTCTCTCTCTCGCTCGCTGTCTCTCTCCGTCTCTCTCTCTCTCTCTCCTGTTTCCGCGTTATTCTCTTGTTTTATTCATTCTCGGTGCGTTTTGTTCAGGCCATCTCTCCCTCTCTCTCCTTCTCTCTCCCTCTCTCTTCCATCTCTAGATAGTCATCGACAGCACACGACAGACAGCACAAATCCGTCACCCTCGACGTGATGGCTTCTCGCCATATTCTTCGAGGACTGGCTGTCCTGGGCCTGGTTGCCCTCGGTACATGTCAGGAATCCTCGCCGTCTTCTTTACTGGCTGCTTATCCTACTTGCGCTGTAGGTTCTTCTTTTCCCGCCCCCCCTTTCTTCTAAGAAGAATAATGATTCCCCTCCTCTCTCTCCCTCTGTCCTCTCTCTCTTCTCTCTCTCGGTACTCGCTAACGCTCGACACTCAAAATCAGCAATCATGTCTCGTCACCGGTCTGACCGGGGGACTCTGCTCCCCGACAGATACAGAGTGCATGTGCACCAGTGAGGCCTTCCAGGCCAATGTGACCGGCTGTGTCTCCATCTCGTGCACGATCCCCCAGTCTCTGAGTACGTCCCCCCGCCCCCAAACCTCCTCCGCTCCCTCTTCATCATGTGCCTTGAATCGATTCTTCTCTCCCTCCCGAGCGCTGACATGTATATATATATGCACGATATATAGCCACCAAGAACGTGACCGAGACGACGTGCGGCGCCCCCGTCCGCGACCGGTCAAGGAAGCTCGTCCGAATCGTCGACGGCCTGACCATCCTGGCCGGTATCTTCGTCCTGGTCCGCCTGGTGTGCAAGGTGGTCGTGAGCAAGGTGCACCTGATGCTGGACGACTGGCTCATCCTCGCCACCCTGCTCACCGGCATCGCGAGCGTGTGCACCATCATCTACGGAGCCGTGGCCAACGGGCTGGGCAGGGACATCTGGACCCTCACGTCCCAACACATCACCAGCGTCTTCAAGTACTTCTACATCATGACCATCCTGTACTTCTTCCAGACCACCCTCGTCAAGCTGTCCATCATCAGCTTCTACATGCGCATCTTCCCCACCCCGCAGACCCGCCGCATCCTCTGGGCCACCTTCACCTTCACCTCGCTCTGGGGCCTCGCCTTCGTCCTGGCCGCCATCTTCTCGTGCTGGCCCATCGCCGTCTTCTGGAAGAAGTGGGACGGCATGCACCCGGGGACGTGCATCAACACCAACGCCATGGCGTGGGCCAACGCCAGCACAAACATCTCCCTCGACGTCTGGATCCTGGCCGTGCCTATGTGGGAGCTGCGCAGGCTGCAGCTGCACTGGAAGAAGAAGATTGGCGTCGGATTCATGTTTTCCCTCGGCGCATTGTGAGTTGACCTCCCCCCCCTCTCCC